GAAGGAAAGGTGGAGAGTGGTGTCTCTTTTCCCTCTCCTCTCAGGCTGCACTTCTCCTCTGTGGACGACTCTGGTGGGAGTCCAGCAATGTGAGGAGGAACAACAGCAAGAGAGCTAGGGGAGTGTGGGGACTTCTAAGTGTCTTTCTTCCCCACAGGACATTGTGCCTATATATAACAATACTGTTATTGTACATTTCAAAATCAGTGAAGAGGGTCTATCTCCTGTTAAGTTCTCACCACAATGAAATGTAAACATTTTGTTAACTTAAAAGAAGTTGTTCTTCCCCCATGGGTTTCCTCAGGCTTTTGTTCAGGACCTCCATGTGACTGTGACCAGCTCCTCGGTGTTGAGATTGGCAGGAGAGAAGACCCCTGTGTAGCCTAGGGCCTGGATGGAGGAAAAGCTGAGAGACCAGAGGAGGCTAGGAAGCTCTTTGTTCTCCTTCCGTCTGTCCCAAGCCCTGAAGGCAATAATTGTGTGCCCTGAACAGGCACCCAAAGAGCCTTCAGAATCCCATGACTCTCTCACCCCTCATGTGGCAGCAAATCTCTGAAGTGATTGTTCCTCTGCAAATGGCAGCTTTCTCTCCTCTCATCACAGAGGACTCAGCAGGGTTTCCCCCTTCTTCCAGCCAGCAGAGTCCCAAGAAAGGCCTTGTTCTACATAGTTTATTAGCAGCTCATCTGGACTTTGCCTTTGAATTCCTGTTAACCACTTTGCATTCCCTATGGGGTCAACTTACGGTCTGCCACAGCAGACTCTGAATTCCTTCAGAGTTAGGATATGTGTTTATCATCTTTCCTTCAGCATCCAACCTGCCATACTGAAGTGTTCAACAAACGCAGAGTAAGTAAATGAAAACATGAATTAATGAATAACTTAATAAAGGATGGATGGATGGATGGATGGATGGATGGATGGATGGAAAGAATGCAGAAAGCACATGTTAAAAGCCAAATGAGGCTGTGACAAGTGTCATAGCCCAGAGAGGAAGCATAGATAGCACAGGCTGTCCACATCCTGAACAAAAGTCTGAGAAAACAAATGGGAGGAAGAATGGCTTTTAGGAGCCCCCCCACCCCCAGCTCTCTTGCTGTTGTTCCTCCTCACATTGCTGGACTCCCACCAGAGTCGTCCACAGAGGAGAAGTGCAGCCTGAGAGGAGAGGGGTGTCAGCAGAAAAGAGACACCACTCTCCACCTTTCCTTCCTATCACTTGACTGTCAGAGACCTCATGGCAGGTGATGGTTCACCCTTGTTTCTCTGACCAACCTCATCACAAAATTGTTGTCACTAGTACACAGTCCCACAACAATCCTGTCTAATTATGTCCCAGATTAGCACCTAAAAATCCAAAATAGCATCTGACGTGACTTTCTATTTACAGAAGGGCATATGGGATGCATTAACAACACCCTTGCTGGATCTTCAGATGCTGTGGACAGGCCCGACAAGTGCTGAAGGGAGTGGGCAGCCCTGATGTTTATCTGCTGATAAGTGCACCCACTGGGGGACTCAGAAGGGAATTCCAGAATGTTCTTGATAAAGACTTCAAGCCACCAGATCTGTTGCTGCCGGAACTAAAAATAGTTGGGTGTTGTTGGGAAAGCACGGGTCTGGAAGTGGGAAGGTGTGGGGTCCTCATCCTGCATTAACTGGCTTCATGTCCTTGCCATTTAACCTGTTCGCCTCCCTAATGTCGGCGCTCTCTTCTGTGCATCAGGGGTTATGGAGCAGCACTCCTTTGATCACGGGGCAGGTGCGAGTCCCAAGGGAGATAATGAACGTGAAAGTATTTGGCCAATGCCCAGCCCCAGTCTCAGGAGATGAGCATGAGGGAGGGTCGTGATAAGAAAGCAGCCACACTGAAGACGCTTGTTCTGTCCTCAGTCTTCCATTGTAGCAGGAGTAAAATCCTCCCACACTCTGGCTTTTAACCGTCTGGGGGTGGCCCTCTGGTGAGGAGATGATTCTTTGTTCTACTGCCTCCTAACTTTCTATGCAACAGTCAACCATGCTCCCTTCTTGCCTGCCCTGCCCTATCACTCTATCATCCATGACCACCTCATTCATGCTTAATATGGGGAAGTCCCACGTAGCAGCCCAGAAATGTGAACGGCTATTCTCAGCAAATGTGAGGTTACCCAAGCTACAGGATAAATAAACATGCTTATTTTTCCTCTTTTAAAAATAGTTATTCTGTTCTTTTTTAAGACTTTGAAATACAGTCTAGTTAAATAGTCTATATTGAGCACTGACTATATGCCAGGCTGTTAATGCTTTATTTACATTATTTCATTTACTATTTATAATAATTCAGTGAAAGAGGTATCATTGACCTCTTTTACTTTAAGGTGGGGAAACTGACATCCAGAGAGACTATGTGTGTGCCAAGCTCCCAGAACTGTAAACCGACCTATGATTTGAACCTTATTTTTACAAAACCCATGCTCTTACTTACGTATTATGCTTTTGGCCTCAAAAATAATAGTATCTGCAAAAAGAAGATGAGGAGGAGGAATTGGAAGCACATATTTAATCAACAATAAAAAGTTTATGGGTCTTGGACAAATACACTCCCACCCCCACCATTCAGGCCTTTCCCAAAACCTGAACATGACCTTGTAGGTAGAGAGAAGAGGCAAGTGAAATACAAAGTGTGTGATTGACTGACAGTTAGTGAAGAACAGGACATAATCCTTCAGAAAACAAACGTGAACAATTTTTGTGTACTGAAGAGGTCTATCTCTGAAGTCAGAATATGACGCATATATTTTTGCTATTATTATTATTATTTTATTATTACTTAAAGTTTTTTCAAGGGAGAATGGGACAGGATAATGGAACATCATTTCTTCCTCTTAGATCCTAGCCATCTTGCCTCCCAATATCAGTCTCTTCAAGAACCAACCAAACATATTTTTAAGTATTTTCATTTAATTTAATGGGTTATCGAGTTTATGTGGCAGATGATCATAGTTTAGCTTACTGGTTTATTACAATGCTATCTTTGTATCTTAAAATGAAAACATTACAAATACTTGGGGATATACGAGAACTTTTTGTTTCTACCAGCTTTGACACTTTTGTCTCATATCATTTTATTGTTCAAAATCAATGACCTTGGGATGCCTGGGTGGCTCAGTAAGTGTCTGCCTTTGGTTCAGGTCATGATCCCAGGGTCCTGTGATAGAGCCCCATGTCGGGCTCCCTGTTCAGTGGGGGGATCTACTTCTCCCTCTACTTCTACCCTCTTCCCTGTTTATGTTCTCTCTCTCTCTCAAATAAATAAAATAAAAATCTTAAAAAAAAAATCAATGACCTTAGCATCAGATAGTAGTACTTTCACCATTTCCCCATTACCAAATGTATGTAACGATACCTGTCTCATGGGATTATACCAATGATGAAATTAAATGAGATAATTTACACAAACTTTTTGGCACATAGAAAGTACTCAAAAAATGGGAATGTCATCTCCCCTATTCCGGATTTGTGTCCTTTATCTCATGAGTTTCAGTGCTGTGTAGATGTGAAAGACTGTTTTGGAATCAGTGATACCCCAGTACAAACCTTAGCTTAGCTTTCTACCAGCTGTGTGATGTTGGGCAAATGTCTTAGGCTCCCAGAACCTCCCCCCCCCTTTTTTTTGTAAAAAGGAAATAATAGTCCTCTTTTCCAGGAATGCTGTGAGTCTTACAAAATAACATATACAAAGTATCTGACATATAGTAGGTGCAAAATAAATAAGTGGGTTTTTTTCTTAGATAAAGTAACTTCTGTCCTGTAAAATAGAGCTAATGATTAAGTTTTATGAAAATGCTTTATTGCATGATTATGGATAATTTCAAACATCTAGAGACTTACTTGGGTGTCATTTTAAGGTTGCTTCATCTAATCCTTTTTAAGCCATGTTTGGGTCTTGTGGGAATGTTTAAAGCTCCATTATGAAGCCAAGGTAAGCAAAGGTACCTATCAGCTGCAGTGACCACTGACCCACCCACAGGGGCACCCCCGTACAACTGTAGCCAACTTCGCCCAAAGTCTAAGAAAGGTTACATGACTCACACAGATGTAGTAGGCATGAGATTACAGGCCTAGAGGAAGAGGCCAGGGCTGTGGGCAGTATATTTGACAGGCTCATACACTGCAAGCCTTGTTCCAGAGCCCTTACAAAGCACCTCTTTAGGATGAAAAACAAGATGCTCTTTGTAAATAAAAGTTCATGCATTTGCGTAATGAAGTCATTTTCCAGCGCTGCAGTAAAAGATATTCTTCTCCCAAGCCCCCTGGGTGAGGACTGTCAAGAGGAAGACGGCGGCCAGCCAGTCTCAATGAAGATAGCTCAAAGAGTGAAGCATTCCATCTTTAGAAAATGAGAAACCTTGCTCAAGAAAGTGGGTGCCCTCCCCCTCTGCCATAGAGTGAGATTGCCTACCTCTGGCTCCTGCCCCTGGAATCCCTTTCCCACTCACTTCCCTGCAAACTAGGGGGCCACATAAGAGATCTACATAAATACAGATAAGACACCGGGCACCTAGACTAAATAAATAAGAGATGGGAGGAAGCAATCACAAAAGCTGAACATTCATGGGGGTCCCTTGGAGGGGCTCCAAACTGAGATGGGAGGGGGAGGACGGCCAGGGAAAGGCCCAGAGCTCGGTGTGTGAAATGCCAGTTGGAGTGGGAGGGCCTGGAAGTGGAAGGTAGAAAGGGAGTGGTGCGAATGGATGTGAGGAGGAAGGCAGGACAGCGCAGCCCTCAGTCCTCACCCGCCCCGGCCAGGAGGTGGCCGGCGGGGCTCGCCCCAAACCCGTCTGCCTTTTGATGCTCAGCCTTAAGCTTCATCCATCTATACGCCCTTCAGCCAGAGCCTCTGGGGAGAGAGAAAGCGGGAGAGAAAAGCGAGAGAGGCAGAGGGGGAAGAAGGAAAGAGGAGAGAGAAGGGGGGAAGGGGGACTCCCGCTCACTCGCTCCCTCTCCCTTTTTGACTAAGTTGCTCCTTGGGCCGCCTTGACTTCCCACATCGGGACTCGGCAGAGGCCGAGAAGGTAGAGCAAGCGAGGCACCGCCGCCCCACGGCGGGGGGGCTACCGACGAGGACAAACCGCCGCCGAGCCCCAGGCAGAGCCCTGCTGGATGTCAGCGGAGAGATGGCCGTGAGCTCAGCCCGGTGCTCAGTCCTGCCGCTCTGGCTCCTCTGGGGCGCTGCGTGCGCCGCCGCGGCGGCCGGGAACCACAACACTTTTCCTTTTGACATTGAAGGGAGCTCAGCGGTCGGCAGACAAGACGCGCCCGAGACGAGCGAGCCCCGCGTGGCTCCCGGAAGGCTGCCGCCTGCTGCCAAGGTACAGTGTCCCTGCCATTGTGACCCTGCCGCGGCACCTGCGCCCCGCGGGGTGCGGGCGCCACGCTCGCGTCCCCCTCTCTCCCCTCCTCTTTCCCTCCCCCATCCGCCTTGAGAGTTTCACCTGTACCAGGTCCGTTCAGAAACTTGGAATGAAGAGTTTTACTTTGTTAAGTTGGATTGGGACGTCGTGAGTTGCGAGTTGAGGCTTTGGAACATGTCACTGTTCAAACTAGCAGAAGTGCATGTGTCCTGTGTACTCCGAGTGGGGCTGCTTAGACTCTCACCTGGGGCTGCAGTGGCACTTCTGTGACTTTCTGCCACTTGCATGTCCCAGGAGAGTCATTTTTGCCAAGCCACAGCTCCTAATGCGTGTGCCCTGTCCCTGGCTTCCTGCTCCTCTGTGATGTCGGGACAATGGAAACAATACTGCGGGACCAATCCTTTTGTCATAAATCAAACAGAAGGTTCTCTGCAACAGGGGAGAGTGCGCCAGTGGCTGAGGGTGATGGGATACTACAGAGTCTGTTGGGAAGCTGCAGATCGGATACTTGAAATAGACGGGAGCCATATTCCCGAAGCAAGAAGTTGTGATGAAAATCAAGCCCCATCCCAAAAGTTAAAATGATCAGGATATGCTATTGAATATATGGTTATGCAAAGAGCTGCTGTTTAAATACCTTACAATAGCTTTTATGTTGAAAGCACAACCAAAATGTAGTAATTGGGTAAAGGAGGATGAATCCAGAATAAGTGATTTAAGAGTCCCCTGAGCCAAGACGGACAACAGCATGTCCAGTGCGTGGGAGATGTTAAGTAGGAGGAAAATGAAGTCACCTAAGTTCATGGGAAAGGAAGGAGCAATGGACCTAACATCACACACACACACACACACACACACACACACACACACAACCACACGCTATAGCTATGGTTCTAGCAACTATAAAACCAAAGCAGTTATGTGGATTGACACCATTTCTAACAGAACTGAAGTCCGGATTATTACTATTAATCCTGCTAATTGTTTGTAGAACGGTAGTTCTTCATTATTACTACCAAAATAAGGTGCATGAAGATGGTCCTTCTCCAGGAGTGAGCCCCACCCACACCCCCAAAAAAGAGGAAGGGTGGGTAGGACCAGAGCATACCAACCTCCCACTGTGGTGCAAAAAGTAACCTCTATGTGAAAGAGGGGGGCAGGCTTCTGCTCAGCTTTATACTCCCCAGGCATGGAGAGAAGCCAGGCCAGGAGAGACACCAACGGGAAGGCATTGCTTCTCCACAGGCTAGGAATTAACCCCCCGCCCCGAGGAAGCATTATTTCCACCTGTTGCTTTGAGCACGGAAAATCTCAGAGTGAAATGCCTAAGGTTAGGTTGCCCTTTTATTAAGATAAAATACAAGACATCTAATTAAGTTTGAATTTCAGATAGCAACAAATAGATTTTTTGCTTATGTCTTAAATATTGCATGGGATGTATTTATAGTAAAAAAAATTATTTATTGTTTATCTGAAATTCAAATTTACCTAAGCATTCTGTATTTTTATCTGCTGATTTTGGAGATATGGGCACACAAAACTTTTTGGAACACTCATCCCACAAAAAGTAAGAAAATAATTATTTGATTTTCAGGGAACCTTAAATTTATTGCTGAGACCCTGAGTGATTTCTTATACACTCATATGCTCAGTGAAATAATAGGAAGGCAGCACAGCAGAGTATTTTAAATGGCAGGCTTTGCACTCTGATGGTCCCAAGTTCAAATTTCAACTTTCCTGCTCCTTACCTAAGGCAAATCACAGATGCCCAAATTACAGAGAAAGAAACTGAGGCTTAGAGAAAGTATTGATGCCTACTTCATACTTCCTACAGTTACCGTGATAAAATTAGATAAAATATACAGAAAGAATGCTTAACACAGTACTTGGTATAGCATAAATGCTTTATACATTCTGAATCTTACTATCAGTATAAAATATGCAGATGATTGGATTAAAAGAAACCCTTATTTGGGAATATTTCTCAGAACATTATTTTTATGGTGCTATTTTACTTAATATTGCTATATCTGTTTGTCTATATCTTTCCAACCAGGAAGAATATCGTATAGTGAGTTAAATTTGTAATACTGTCAGAGTCTAATAGGTTCAGAATGCCAGTTGAGGCTTTTGATTTAGGAAAACAGAAAGAAGCTATTAGTCATTCCAGAAGGGTCAAAGTATATGATGTAGAAAGGGTGGGATTGGAGTAATTATGTTCCCACTGCATAGTTTCACATAATACCTCTAGTTAGCCTGCGGTCCCATGGCGATCCCAGTGCCCCGGCATTTAGATTTCCCATGCTCTTTATAGCCAGTAAGGAGACCATAAACCAAATACATTCTGGAAATGTAATAACTTCGTAGAGACACTCTATTGAATTGGTTCAGGAGATTGTATTTACATCTATAGACAGAGAGAACGAGACCATGGACTCATATGACACATTATTCATGGGAAGTTCAAGATGTGAATGGAGGGACATTTTAAAAATACATTCATTTTATTTGACTTGGATTTATATGAATGGTTTTTCCTCAATTTCCCTTCAAAGTGAAGGAAGAAAAATACTAAGGCAAGCAGGGAGCAGTGGGAGGTGCTTGGCTGATGGCCCTCCAAAGGCTCTCCCAAGCTCCTCGACAGCAAGGTTTGTGCTCTCCCTACCCCTGGGTCCTCAGCTCTGAACACACGCCCCAGTCTCCCACACACTGCACTGCTCAGTGTGAGTTAGGGGATCAAAGACATTAAATGCACACTGAATAAAAGGATGAGGAGCACTGGCTGACCAAGAAAGAAGGTCCCTCGTTTCCTTCTCAAACAAGCCCAAACATCCCCCAGGATGCAAAGAGTTTGAAAAGAGTAGCACCCACCGGTAACTCTGTGCTAAGGGGTAGGATTTTCCCACCTTCTGTTTTTTTAACAATTTCCTGAGTCCACTATTGCTGAGTTTATGGCGAAAGCAATGATTCTCAGTAGGTGGGGGTGGGCAAAGGAGAGACTGGGTACTTTCAAAAAAGTATATTCACTCTTCTATTTTACATTTAAGAAAAGAAAGCCTTGATTTTTATCACACACACTCTAGCAAGTAAAATTAGGCAAAAGTCCTGTTAACCAATATGGATATGTGAAAGAACTGGAGGGGGTACAGGAATGGAGACAGGAACAGTCTCCAAGGAGAGGGTATCAGAATGTCCTTGGCAGGAAGGACAGTCTTGTCTGTCAAAAAGAAGCAGGCATTATATAAGGTCAAGAACACTAGGTTAGAGTTTGCCACTGTGTGGCTGGGAAGAAGCCCCGCACAGAGACTCAGCAGAGTTGGGGGGGGGGCTCCGCTAGAGGGGCAGAATGGGAGGTTGGCGGGGGCGACGGTGCTGTGACTGCCTTTTGGGAGATAATTGAGAAATTAGGAGAAATAAGTGACAATATTGAGCAAACTTCTCTCAGAGAGGAAAACGGGAATTTCCCTCCTGGTAACCTGACTGGGCTTTGCTGTTGTTGTTGTTGTTGTTGTTGTTGTTGTTAGCTGCCTTCGGGGAAAATCAATAGCCCATGAACCACATGTGCAAAGATACTCCACCCTGGACACACTTATTTGCTGGCTTTAAAAAAAGCACTATGAACTAGACTAATTCTGAGTAACTTTTCCTCTAGACTTTTTTTTATTGCTGATACATGATCCTGTGCTCCAATGTAGCAGTGCCTTGACACTAAAGGATTGCAGTATGTTTATTAAAAGGCAGCTTAGATCTCTTTCACTATCTTCATTTCTTTTCTTTATCTTGGGCCCTTACTTTGAAAATGGCCCCGTTGAATCACATTAAGTCACTGGCCTGGGCCATCATTCTATACTGCTGCTCAACAGTGCGTTTAGGTAATGTGAAGCCCCACATGCAGTCATTATTTCCTTCACTCAGTATCATCCAACAAGCAGGTTTGGAGCCTTACCCTGTACAGAGAGCAATAAGTAGGCACCAGGAGGGACAGAAGGAAGACAGAGTCACATCCCTACCCTCAGGGAGGAGGCAGTCTTAGAACGAAAAATATGTACACAGCCACTCTATAAAGCAGAATGAATTAATATTCTGTGAGAGTGGCTAGCAGCTAAGGGCCATGGGGGTAATGTGGAAAAAGATTACTCTTGAGCCAGATCAGTAGGACACAATCACCTACTCACAAAATACCAAAGAAGTTTCCTGGGAAACATTATTTTAGAAGGACTAAATATAGCAGTGGCAGTAGTAATAATAATAATAGCATGGCTTGTGGCTCGCCCTCATTGAGTATTACCACGTGCCACACACTAGTCTAAGCATTCCCCATGAGTTATGTTTTTTTAAAAACCCTCTTAACAACTCTGTGGGACTTGTATAGTTACTATCTTATTTTGTAAACATGGAAACTGAGGCACAGAGCATTTGCCCAGGTACACTACCTGGTAAGTGGCACAGCTAGGAAGGAGTTTATAAAAGTAATTCAATTGTGCAAGAATATCTAGGAAAAAGTGGTTAGGTTACTAAAACTATCTGTCGACATAATTTCAGTCAAAGTTTTGGGAATTTCTTAAAGTTATATAAAATGCCATTCAAAGACTATTTGTGCAATGCTTGCTTGATGAGTAGTTGCATAAAATTTTAGAATTACCAAAGAATTGAGATAACTTACTTTTCCGGACCCGTCTGATAGCTACTTTTTAAACTACTCATATAGGAAAGACAAAAAATAACACTTCCTGATTTCTACTATGTCCCATGTAACTACATGTATTATCTTTTGTAATACTCAATAGTGAAATTTATACCCATTTTATAGATGACCAAATTAAGGTTTGGAGATGGTTAAGTACCTTGCCCAAGGTTTCCAAATCCCATTCTCTTTTTCCGGCAAATCACTGGGTCTCCCTGATAGATTTTTTTTTAACTCTAGAGTTTTCTTGCATCCCATTTTCCTTTTATAAGTA